GCTCCCTCTCCCTGCCCATCCGGACATCATCAATATGAAGACCGAGAGGAGGAATTCTGGGAGTTGAAGTGTGCAAATCTTAAAGCTGTCAAGTTACAAGACCCTTGCCCCACTAACCCTTTAGAAAAAAACCCCAGGGCTGTTCAAACTTGACAGCTTTAAGACTTGTGGACTTCAACTCCCAGAATTCCTCCTCTCGGTCTTCATATTGATGATGTCCGGATGGGCAGGGAGAGGGAGCTGGAACCGGGTCTAAACGGCACTGTAGATTTGTGGAACCTCTTCTATAGAAGAGGCTAGAACTGGCAGGAACCCACCCCTGAGTAGGGATGAGTGGACTTGCTTCTGGTGAGGAAGTGTACTCTGTTTCTTTTACTCACTGTTTCATGGCTGGCAGGTTTGGAAATGATTGCTAATTATCTGCAAATAGCTTTTATAGAATGAAAATGGTATGAAGATTTATGGAAATATTGCTAATAGAGGTAAGACTTGAAGCATTCCTGGCTTTGTTTACGAATAGAATTCATAAACTGACAGGATCATTCTTTGTATGTCTCCCTCTTCTATCAAGAAGTCTAGAAGAGCTATAGTATTAACATGAAGCCAGCCATTGTCCAGATTTTATCTAACAATGGCACAGTAGTTGCCTTCCTGGAACTTAAGCTGCCATCATTGCTTCCATGAACACTGAGAATGATTGCAAAAAGCAACATTATTTATCAAAGTTTGGCGCCATCGTGTGGACAAACTGCAGAGTGTGCTGAGAAAAGCAATTGATGCAAAACATCCACTCAAGTCAAACAGTTTTTGTTTGTTCACAATAGATTTAACTTCTATTTCCTGAAATAGAAGTTGCATTTGAAAAATCTGAATTTTTTTTGAAAAATCTGTGTTTTCATATATCTGAGTGAATCCTCAAGGCAACCCAATGTATATTTTTGAGAATAAATGCCAACTGACTAAAACCCAGTAAATATAGATGGTATCATCACTTCAGTTTGTTTACAAGCTAACTGGTTAAATTTGGAAGCTTGACTATACAAAGTATATGTCATTAATCACTGTCTTCTTCAGAGAAACAGTGAAAAATATGACAATTTTATGCGGATGTGGGAAAATACAGTTTTTAGATCTAGCTTACTTTCTTGATACTTGTCAAGAAACATGTTGACCAAACCAGTGCTTTGTTATTCAAAAGTTTTGGCATCTCAACTTCTACAAAGAAAGAGTCCATTAGATTGCTTCTGCTTTACAGAATAATTATTTCATTTAAAACAGTGATACAATTTAGTCATTCAATATGTCTACAAAACAGGGGAATCAATTCCACAAGAACATTAAAGCTACTTTAATAAACAAATAGCTATAATAACAGAATCTTGCAAGTCTGATTCAGCTGTGTCTCTTTCCTTTTCTCAAAGTTCAATGAATTAAGGAGGTATCTGGCTGACTGCTTCTAAATATGCTCATTCCAGACTTTAAAAATGCTACAGCCCCTTATGCTTAGGCAAAGATCCTGCAAACTTATGTCAAGATTATTTTCCTTACTTTCTCCACATTTATAATACACATAGTCCTTGGCTTGCAACCACAACTGAGCCCAAAATTTCTGTTACCCAAGTGAGATAGCTGTTAAGGGAGTTTTGCATCATTTTACGACCTTTCTTGCCACATTTATTAAGAATATCACTGCAGTTGTTAATTAAGTAACACAATTGTTACTTATCTGGATTCCCCTTTGACTTTGCTTGTCAGAAGGTCACAAAAGGTGATAACATGACTTTGAGACACTTCAACCATCATAACTATGAAACAGTTGCCAAAGGATCAAATTTGTATCACATGATTATGGGGTTCCTGCAGCAGATATAAGGGTGAAAAACAGTGATACTTTTTTTTGTAACTTTACATTGTCACTAAATGAATGGTTGTAAGTTGAGGACCACCTGTATATATAACTATAAATACAACTAAGGTTTTACAATTCATAGCCACTTGCATGTGAACCAACTGTAATTTTACTATTTCTTAAGAATAAGGACAGACCTGAATGACCTGAATTCCTGATGTTGCTCAGTGTATGTTACATCGTATTGAGCAATTGAATTGGGAGAAATTTCCATGACTGAATTGCATAAAGAACATAATGTTTTATTCCCATGTTGTTTCACTACTCTTTATGCTATTATATCACTGTACATTAATTGTCTAACTGTCAAGAAGGAATAATGCAAACAGAAATTTCTGGAAACAGATGTGCAAATTGTGAAGGTAGAAAACCATCATTTAAAATGGTCATTTCCTACTTTGTAAAACTCGTATTTGTGAACGCTCTTTTAAATGATTGCCTATTCACAAAGTGGGTGTCATGACAGATATAATGAATTATTAAAAAAAAAATATCAAAAAGCAGTACGACATTGTCAACAAATGATAGATAGCCAGATAGCAATAGCAATAGCAGTTAGACTTATATACCGCTTCATAAGGCTTTCAGCCCTAAGTGATTTACAGAGTCAGCATATCGCCCTCATAGTCTGGGTCCTCATTTCACCCACCTCGGAAGGATGGAAGGCTGAGTCAACCCTGAGCCAGTGAGATTTGAACAGCCGAACTGCAGAACTGAAGTAGCCTGCAGTGCTGCATTTAACCACTGCGCCACCTCGGCTCCCTAGATAACCAGATAACTAGATAACCAGACAGGTAAGTAGGTAGGTACAGACAGACAGACAATAAATCTGTTTTTCAATTACAATATATATGGTTATTTCTTTAACTTTCTCCCTGCTTGACCCCCAAATTCTATGCCAGTACACTGCAATTTTTAATTTAAAAACCTTGCGCCAACCAACATCAGCTAAATAATTCTTTCCACTGGTTGGTATTTTCTTTTGGGAATTTGTTGTATTACATTTTGCCCAGTACAACTGAATGTTCTTACCCAATATTCTTCGTGCTAACTTTATAGCTGCTTCAAATGGATTTTCTTCAACAATCTCATCTAAGAGCCCCAGTTTCAGTGCTTCAGTAGCTGGCACATATTTACCTAAGAAAAAAGAAATATTACTTTTTAATTTAGGATTCACTTAAATTCCATCTGTTCCTTGGGAGTTTCAAGGTATGTTACTGGTAGACTATTTTGAGCATAGATCAGGGGTCTCCAAACTTGCCAACTTTAAGACATGTGTACTTCAACTCCCAGAATTCTTCAGTCAGCCACGGGAAATTCTGGGATTTTAAGTCCACAGTTCTTACATTTGGCAATTTTGGAAACCCCAGGACTAGGCAAAATCGGTAAATTTTTGATTCCATGCTGTTACAGCAACATGCTAAAATAATAGAAAAAGAGAAATCCACTAACATCATTAGCAGAAAGGGGTCAGCAAGGCAGTACTGTGTACTAAACTGTAAGGCACAAGTGGCCCATATATTCTATAGGTACCTTCTATAGCACAGCAGCCAGCTAGAGAATAAGGATGCTTGTCAGTTCATTATTGGACTTCTGTGCTGAAACATTAGAATCGATAACTAATAAATCAACAGGGATCAGGTGACAGGAAAATCAAACAGAACCCAATAAAATAATTGGCTCTGGCCTAGGTTCTCACTTTCAATGTCACTCAGGGGATCACCTATGGCTTTTTAATTGTTCATAGTTATTTAACATCACACTGAACTTCAGGTCACAAAACTGGTGGTCTTGATAAGCTGTCATGGGTAATAAAAACTTTTTAATATAAACTATTAAATAAATATTTAATTTTTAAAAATAAATTATTATTATAATCAATATAAGCCCAAAGCAGTACTGAAGTTTTTAAAATAATATCCAAGAAATTCACTGCTTCACCTCACTTTTGTGAATGGTGACTACATAATAAGTCTGGCAATGAGACCACAGCAAATACAACGATGATGTAAGAGAACTGTGCTAAATCTAGAAACCTTCAGAAATCTTGTATTTGCATGAGAAGCAGAATCTCCTTCAAAATAAACCAAACCCAATTTGGAATAACAGAACTCACAAAAATACTTTATATTTTTCAGCCTTCTCTGTAGGATGGTATGTAAAATTAATATTCTTAAAAGTAAGCTGAATTTCCTCTATCAACACAATCATTTTCAGATACACATCTTAGTGAAAAGTCCATCTAAAGTGCTGCTACCGATCTTTTCTAGCTGCTACCTAGGAATTGTTAGCTAACATTTCAGATGATGAATCTAACAAACCCAGAAAGTGTAAAGCATGTTTTTACTGTAGTCATGCTATCTTATATTTCTGGAAAGCATATTTGTATTCCATAAAAATGCCAAGATATGTAAATATGCCATATATTATTTGCACATGACACATGTCTATTCACAGATAATTTTTTTTTACCTGTGGTGATCATATCAAGTGCAGTTGGTATCCCAATCAATCGTGGAAGCCGTTGAGTCCCACCGCCTCCAGGAAGTAAACCTATTTTGACTTCCGGCAAACCAAATTGAGCCTGGAGTGAGGATGAAATATTTGTAAATAGTTACAATATATAGAACACATAGCATCCTCCCCTATAATTTTTAAAAAACCCTGCTCTATATAGCCCTATATGGGGATATAAATGAGTAATGTTGGAAAAGATCAAGTAATCTAGGGAACAGTTGTATTTCAAAAACCTGGATTCTCTATTCCTTTTCTAAACTTAAAATTATATTTATGGTTGATATATCATCACACAAACCATTGATTCCTGGATAAGTAGCACAATCTTACTTATCTAAATGGGTTTCCTCTGTAAAATAATTTTATTAAATTTTACAAAGCATAAACATAAAAAAATAACTTAAACTAACAATAAAAATAAACAATAAAGAATAAAAAGAGAATAGAGATAGAAGTGTGAAAAAGTATAAATAAAATGAAGGGGAAACACAAATATATACAAAGAATGAAAAAATATTTTCCCCTTTTAAAATTTTAATAATCATCAAATCCATATGTTAAAATTTGATTTTTTCTCTATTGCCTTCAAAATTTCCACAAAAGATTTAGAACTGTAGTTGAATTACTTTAGTGATTCCAGTTCTGTCAACTTTATTAACCACTCCTCTATTGCTAGTATCATAAGCGTTTCCAGCGCTGAGCATACAAAATTCATCCTGCTATTGGTATTATCATATATAACAATAAGTAAAGTGCTTTTTCAGCACTGTTGTAACTGCAAATGGTAGTTAAATGAAGCAGTTGCTAAATTAGGGCCTGTATTATTATATAATAACTTTCCATTACCTTGATTACATATTATTCATTTATAAGACCTTTTTGACTCAATTGGAATTATTAATCTTATTGAAATAGCATCCACAGTAAATCATTGCACACAATGGCACAATTGTGCAAATACTACAATAAAGTAATTTCAACAGGAAATATGATACAGATGTCATCATTCCCCTGCCTCAAGTTTCTTCATGTTGCTTTCTAGGATTGATATATTTCAATTTTTAACAGAACATTTTATAATTCATAGGTACTTGGTTGGGAGAGATAGACATCAGAGGGCTTTAGGTGATATATAGGTTGAAAATGGTACTTTAAAGACATCTTACCTTCATGTTTGCAATCCTATAATGACAGCCCAGTGCCAACTCCAGGCCTCCTCCGAAAGCTATGTCTTCAATAGCAGCCACAAATGGTTTTTCACTCTTCTCTATTAAAGCAGCTACAGACTCCAAACTCAGTGTATTTTTTTCAATGCCAACAGAAAATCCTCTGATATCAGCACCTAAAAAAATTGAACAAAATTCTGAGAATCCATGATTGCTTCAAGTAACCACCCCATTAAAGCCTTGTGCTAATTAACATAGAAACAAAATGTACCGAATATTTATATACTTCAAATAGGAAGTAATTGTGATTTAATATAAGTTTCCAGTTAGTATTAGATTCTCTGCTTATAAAAACCAATGAAATGCAAGCAGGAAAAAATGTTCATTTCATGTTTCCCATAAATATTTCCCATAGGTATTTCATGTTTCCCATAAATCTGCTATGAGGATTTGAGGAGAGAGTAAAGTTCTCAATAAACGATTGGGGTTCATTGAGAGAAAATTGCTTAAAATTAATGAAAAGAAGGACTAGGGGTGACATGATAGCAGTGTTCCAATATCTCAGGGGTTGCCACAAAGAAGAGGAGCCAAGGCACCTGAGGGTAGAACAAAAAGCAAGGGATAGAAACTAATCAAGGAGAGAAGCAAACTAGAACTAAGAAGAAATTTCCTGACTGTTAGAACAATTAATCAATGAAACAATCTCCAGAGGTTGTGGATGCTCCAACACTGGAAGTTTTTAAGAAGAGATTGGACAACCATTTGTCTGAAATGATATAGGGTTTCCTGGCCAAGCAGGGATTTGGACTAGAAGATCTCCAAGGTCCCTTCCAACTCTTGTTATTCTATTCTATTACCTCCCTTCAGATTAACCTGACGGAAGTCTCCTGCTGGCTAAGGAATGCTAACTAGATACTATAATGTCCCAAAGGTGCTTTTTGAAGCAGCAACTGGACTTTCTTTTTTTTAATTTGAATATTTCTTTGAATATTTCTCAAAGAAAAATAAGAAAGTCCGGTTGCCCCTTGAAACTTTGTAGAACTATGACCTGGATGACCAAGAATCTCCATAAACATTTAGATCTACAATCTATGTGTATAAAATTACTTCCTGGAAACACACACACACACACACATAGAGAGAGAGAGAAATGGGTATAAAGGTTTATAAACATAGAAGCAAAATAATATTTACATGTACAGGTATGATGACATAATAATGTTGATATAATGACTGTAAGGTGTTGTAGAAGGAAAAAAATAATAAAAAAAAGNTCCAGGTGTTCCTTGTGAGGAGGGGTAGGGTGACCTCTTCCAGAGTATCCTCACAGCTCTTCTCTGAGCTTGCCTACTCTCTGCTCTCCGTGCCATTGGATTGGGTGTGGGAGGCAGCTGTTCCTCATCAGAGGGGATCTGCTGCCTATCAGCATCACTGCCTGTCAGCAGCCAATCCTCCCCTGTTTCTGTGAGGGCAGATAGCTCTCCATTCGGTCAACCACCTCCCTCAGTGCCTGAGGAGCCTGAGACACCCTCATCCTCAACCCCTGGCCTCTCCAAACCAAGAGAGAGGTGCCATCCTCATTGGACGGCCCAGTTCCAACTTCTTCTCCTCTTCCTCCAAACCAGGCTCCAATGGGGCCTGACATCTACTAGCTTTGCTTCATTCCACATAGTAACCTGGAAAAGTTTGAACCTGTATCTATGCTTCTTTAAGATAGCAATTTCTGCATATTCATCACTTGTGACTTTCCGTGAAATTCATAAAGAAGACTCTTCCTTCTGCATGGTAAGGGGAATTAGGCTCATACACATTATGTGTGCTTAACACATGGAGCAAAATAATGATATTCTATCTACATGTACTGAGTTATAGACTCCATGATACTTCACACAAATGTCAGTTCTCCAATAAGTCATAACAACTTAAAAGGGTTCAAGGTTGCAAGCAGATTTAATTTGCCACTTTTTTAGCTAAAGGGATATCACTCATGCAGAGAAGGATAATTAAGACTGCAAAATTGCAGAGGGAAAAAGACAGATGAAGACTGGTCCCTCAAGGCTGCCTCCTGCTCAGGTGAGCTTCAGAGAGTTCAGTGTGCACAGGCTGCAGCAAACCCCATCTTGTATATATCAGTCAGACTGTGGGGTGGAAGGAGTGGGAAGAACAGTGAAAGTATAACATGATTGTCACTCTCTTAAAATCAAAGAGGGCACTACCAAGGACTGGGCTACTTAGGGAAGAGTTTCCCACTGAGTATAAACCAATCAATATGCAGAGCAACAAAGAGCTTTTGAAGAAACTGTACAGTACATCAAAGAGAGGTTTTTTTTAATTTTAATGCCTTTATAAAAAATTAATGAGTGCATTATCTTCCTGGGGATAGGCAAGGAGAAATGGAAGCAGTGGATCATTACAATGAAAATTAAAACTTCTTAAAAGGCAAGTGTCAACACAACATTCTGAGATTAATGATTAAATATGTGAATTAAAGGAAGAAAACAATTTTTGAGAGTCTCTCTCTGCTAACTCCCCCTAGAGAGAATCTACCCAGGGTGGCAAGAGGGAGAGGAGAACAATCTCTATTATTGCAGTGACAAAACTGCATAATAGAAATTACAAATTCTTTCATTGCTGCATTTCACCCAAAAAGTTCATTCTTCAACCACAGCTATCTTTTATTTAAAAGCAATAAAATGCAGAAGGGACTTAGCATGTCATTGGCTGCCGTTTCTCCCTTTTCAATGGGAGATTTAAAAGAAAAAATTACCTGTTTACAACCCTATTCTGGATTTGCATGATACAACGGACATTACAGTAACCAATCACATGTAGTCCAGGATATTGTGTGCACTAAGTCTATTTGTTTAATGTATTGTTTAGTATGTGATCTCAGAAAACTGAAGCAATTGATCCATCTTAGTTAATTATAATTATGCACTAAAGCAAAGAGAATCATGTTTTTTCCTCTAACCTGTGTTATGTTTGAGACTATAGCTTCTGAGATATATTTCCCGGAAAGGAAACTGACTGTCAGATGAATTAACAACCTAGCTCTGCATTTTCTCTACCGTATTTCCCCGAAAATAAGACAGGATGTTATTTTTCTTTGACCCCTGAAATAAGTGCTTGGCCTTATTTTGGGGGCGGTCTTATTATTTTCGAGGTGCAGAAGGCGCGAGCATGGTCACCTCATTGCTGCTGCTGTGTTGCAATATTTTTGGGAAGGGCTTATTTTCAGGGGAGGGTTTAATTTTAGGGCATGTGCTCAAAAGCACAATTGGGCTTATTATCCGGGGAGGCCTTATTTTAGGGGAAACCTGGTATTGAAATTAAGCAATGCTAGGTGCAAGCTAGGTACCTTAAAGTAACTGTGCGGTGTTTGCTTAGTCTTCTTCACATTTTCTTTAGAAAATGTTTTCTTTCCCCAACAACAACAAAAAACAACAATAGTTGAACTTTGAATAATTCAAAGATGTTCATAAACTTACCTATCACAGCTGCTTTCCGGATTGGTTGAGGGGATACAGTCTTCCAGGATGCCCCATTGGGCAACATCCATTTTTTTGAAATTCTTTCGGCAAAGAAAGCGTACTGCAATGCTTTAGCCTGGTCTGAAGTTAAAAGGAGAAGAAAAAGCTCCTTTTCTTTGCGAATTCCTTCTGCGAAGGGCAAGTACACGGAAGCTTCCACAGCTCGAAAGCACATTTCAGGGGAGAGGCATCCTGGAGCCTGCTTCTTCACCTTCAACAGGGCTTCATGTAGGAAAGCTTCCATGTTAGGGAGTTTGGGAGTCTGTTTCAGAGAGAGTCGGCGAGGTCCCACTGGCTGACCTAGAGAGGGCAAACAAATCATGTTGTTAAAACAAGCTAGCTTCTCAGTTTATCAGTTTCTTTTTCTTTGTACAAGAAAACCAATAACAATGTAAATGTTCTGTTGCCCATTCTTAAATATATTTAATACTGCTGTATATACTAGCACCTATTGTGATATGAAGTATTAATGTGCAACGTTGTGATAATGGTATTCAGTGAAGTTTACTTTAAGTACTGTATTTTTCGGACTATAAGACAAACCTTTTTTCCTCAAAAAAGAGGCTGAAAATCTGGGTGCGTCTTATACATCGAATACAGCATTATTTGCCTCCCAAAACCCTACCCACTTCACCAAAATGGCTGTGCAAACCCTTATGGAGGCTTTCAGAGAGCTCTTGGGGGCCGGGGAGGGCAGAAATGAGCAAAAATGGACCGGTTTTTGCCCCTCCAGCCCCCAGCCGCACCCTATAAGCCTCTATAAGGCTATGCATGCATTTTTTTTGACAAAAACGCCATTTTTGCAAAAAATGAGCCATTTTTTGCCTTTTTTGCCCCCCCTCCCCCAGGAGCACTCTGCAAGCCCCCCCTTCCAGGCTATTCATGCCTTTTATTTGAAAAAAAATGGGCCCATTTTCACAAAAAGCGGGCCATTTTTCAGAGGTTTGCAGAGTGCAAAAACTTTTTTTTTCTTTTTGGAAAGGTCTTTAACTGATGAGAATTACATTAATCAAGTGCTGTGCCAGCAGAAACAAAGTCTTAAGGTTTGTCAGCAATTTCCTTCTCCAGCACATGGATAAATACACCTGGAAACATCTACCTACCTACCTACTCTCTCTCCCTATCTATCTACTGTATTTCTCTCTCTCTTTCTATTTCTCTTTCTCTCTATGCCTCTACCTACCTACACACTCTTTCTCCTTACCTACCTCCTGTATTTCTCTCTCTCTCCCTCTATCTACCTACCTACCTAGTCTCTCTCTCTCCCTACCTATCTTCTGTATTTCTCTCTCTCTCTCTCTCTCTCTCTCTCTCTCTCTCTCTCTCTCTCTCTCCCTTTATCTACCTACCTACCTACTCTTTCTACCTACCTACTGTATTTCTCTTTCTTTCTCTCCCTCTCTATCGCTCTATCTACCTACCTACTTTTTTAAAAAAAAATTCCCTCTTCAAAACCTTGGTGCGTCTTATACTCCGGTGCATCTTATACTCCGGTGCGTCTTATACTCTGAAAAATACGGTAGGTGGGAAAGGATTGTAGTATACAGATAGTCCTTGAATTACAACTGGTCACTTAGCAATGATTTGAAGTTACAACAGAAATTTTTAAAAAGGCACTTACCACCCAAATTCAAGGTTTTGATGGC